TGTCCCTCTCCGCACAGTACCCACATGTTCTACCTGTGCCCCCTCAGTGCCCCCCATCACCCCTCACAATCCCGCATGTCCCCCCTTTGTCACTTCAGTGACAGCTGCCCAAAGGAGTGCGACTTCTTCCACCCTCCCCATTGCCAAGCGGAACCAGGAGCAAGAATGTCTTAAAGAAAGAGGTTTCCTGGGAAGAGCAGCAAATACAAACATCACAGAGAGCTGAAGGGAAAAAATAGTGACAAGGTCACCCCAGCCTGGGCCAAACAGAGAGGGGAGATAGGAGAGGAAGGGTGAAACCAGACCTCGGGGTGGCTGCAGAAGGGTTTTGGGGAGCAGGAGCCACTTGTGTGGTTCCTCCTGGCAGGCATTGTCAACTCTTCTGCCTGCCAGTGCCTGGTGCCCCCTGAGATACACCTCCGAAACTTGAAGACACATCTCACTTTGTCCCCCAGACATCTTCCCCAGGGGGACAAGAGCAGGGACCCCTTGCACGGACACCCAGAGCTTTTGGCTGTCTAAACCCAGCACCAGCTCCAGGGCCAAGTGAATGCCACAGGAGTGCACTGATTCCCTCCTCCCCCCTGGAAAAGCATGAGATGGGAGGAGGATTTAAATTAAGCCAGGGATTATATTAATACCAGCCTCGATCTGTCAGAGGAGATGGGGGACAAGGCAAGCCTAGAGAGGTAAGCAGGGGGTGGCCAGGATGAGGACCCATGTTGCCAGCCTGGGATCAGGGGAGCCTGGGTAAAAGGGGGGTGCTCCTGGGACCTGTATTTGGGGCACCAATATACACACCAGCATCAGAGCCAGAAGCTCAGGATGTTGCTAATACAAGGGACAGATCCAGGCTGCACCACGTGCTGGGGCTTTCTCTGAACCAGTCCGGGTCCCCATGCCAGCCCTGACAGGACCATGCATTGCTAGGGTGAGCCTCTGAGCATGGCACACTTGCCCCTGCCAGCTCCCTTTGCCTGGCAGCCGTTTAATCCTGTTATTTGCCAGTACTTATTAATTAGAGACCTGATTTAGCATGTAAGGGGTGAGACACCTCCTGAGGAAGAAAGAGCCACCACAGCAGATTCTGCTAAGGCAACTGGGGCATGGTGCTCTGCAGCCATTCCCTGACACCCTGGACCAGCCCCCTAAGGGCTGACAGACACCAGGTCCTCAGGGGATGCTGCCTGCAGGGTTTGGGGAGGGCAGCACAGCCAAGGACACCACAGGGCCAGTGACCCCAGCTGACTGTGCCCGTGCCTGAGGGGCCCCCATGTATCTCCAGGTGAATCCTTGGGCACTTGCAGCTGTTGGGGACTAACTTGCCCATCTGAGCAGGGATGTGCCTGGTCTGGTTTGACTCCCAGTGCTTCTGCAGCCTGGTTGCCTTGCTGAGCTGGGCAACAACCTGTTTGGCATCTATGGTGGACTGACTCTGGTGCCCACCAAGCTGCTCTATCATTCCCCTCCTCAGCAGGACAGGACATAGCAGACAGAAAAAACCTGTGGGTCAAGACAAAGGCAGTTTAATAAAGCAAAAGCTGCATGTAGAAGCAAAAGACTGCAAAGGATTTATTGTCTACTTCCCATCAGTGGGTGATGTCTGGCTGCTTCCCTGGAAGTAGGGATTAAGCACACATAGTGGTTGCTCCAAAAGATGGTTACCTTCTTGTATCTCTAGAGTAACTATGCTGAAAGCCTTCTTGGGTGTCCTCTTAACAACTCTCTTCCCTCTCAAATCTCATACATGGGCTTCCAGCTCCAAGGTGGGTTCCCCATTCCACTCTCTATTGTCCTCCCCTGGTCAGGCAGGGAGAACCTGTAGAGTACACCACATAGCATGCACCTGAGGCTCTCTTTCCCTCTGGCCAGGGCAGGAAGGGACTGACTTCTTGGGGTGCCCCTGACAGCCAAGGCACTGGCCTATAGGGATGAGAAGGGATAGATATTTCTCTGAAGTTCTGGAGCCAAGAAGATACTGTCTCCACAGCTGGTGTATCCACTGTATCCATCACTGCCAAGCTGTTAGAACGACACTAGTGCACTCTGAATCACCTTCCTCCACACAGTTCATGTGCACAGGTCATCCTCTGGATCTTTGGAGACCTCATGATTGTCTAGATCACTATACGTGACTCTTCAGCACCAGTTAATTCTCTCACGTGCTGGGTGCCTTCACTTGTGGTGGTCCACTTTCCTGAGTAGTTCACAAGACCTTCCTTGAATTAATACCTTACCCTCACACCTGAGAGGAGATGCCTGAAAATACTGCAAATTGTGGCCACAAATAGCTGCAGTGGTAATCAGTAGTATTAAACAGCTCACATAGTGGTGAGCAGGGACCTCAGGAGCCTGCACAGTAAAGCCACCCACACCAGTCCCAGCTAGGGAGAGGGAGATGTATTCCCTGATCCACTCCACGAGACAGCTCCCCCAGCAGAGCAAGGCCATCAGTGTTTTGTACTAACATGTTCCCAAGCCCAGCAAAGCAAAGAGATAAGCAGTGCAGCCAACAAACTGTGACCTGACAGGAGCTGCCTGCTTAGTAAATACTACAGCTATAGCACACTTAGCACAGGCTAAGGAACGGGCTTATCTGGGCACTGCCTTGTGAGCACAGAGAGCTGGCACTGGATGGGACCTCACCTGTGGGTCCTGGGCACCCCTGGGCAGAGGGATTTCTCTGGAGGTGGGGTTGTGACCCAGGAGACTGTGCTGGGTGGGGAGTACAAGGGCTGTGGGGGCTGCACGGGGCAGCAGGGCAGGGACTCTGCAGGGTGCTGGGATCCTGCAGCAGGAGAGGTTTTACTCCCCAGAGCTCAGCTGCAGCCATCACCTGGCTCTCACTCTCAGCTCTGGGTGTTATGGCAAATGGGAGAATGCTGGTGCCAAGGTGAAGGAGCCCTGATCCAGCTTCAAGCGACTGCCAGCCCATGGTCACACAGCACTGCCAGCT